TTGTAACACAAAATCAATGTAGCAATTCAATTTTTTTGACAAGACTGCAGGTTGGTTAAACCCTGGTAGAATAAAATGTAAACAGTAAACAAGTCATAATCTAAGCTGGCAATATGTTCATTACAGACCTTTAAGCTAAATGGTATAGATTATTTAACACAACTAATCTTATGGAAACAGATCCAGACTTAATGGTATAGTATACAGGGCTATCTTAATCCAAACATACACACCACCTTTTCACGTAATACCGTCGATAAATTGCCGTTAAACTGACTTTGTGGTTTGGACATGAATTAAATCACAAGTGACATCTATGTTTTACAGGGATCGAAGCATTGATTGGTGGTCTAAGCCACTGATGATACGGTAAACACCGTTAGCGCTTCTCACTGGCTGTACCTCGGCGATGACCCACAATTAATGGCTGAGGCGAAGGATAAGGCGTATGTTATGCAGGAAGTAGATGTAAATATACACAGATGAACAGTCATAAAGCGTTATTCCTCGTTAACACATCCCTCGGAATAACACGTTAGAACGCCGGAGGTGATTAGCGAACTCGAATTGGCATCTGCTTTTTTAAGGGCTTAATACAAATGTGGAACAAGATAATTATAGTGAAACGTATCTAGTACTCGGAGCAATATTATGTGTAAAGTCAGTTCTAGCATGCTAGAAAAGTCTGCGTCTGGCAGAATTGGTCGAATACTGAATTAGAACCACTGATTACGTTCTTCAGGAAATAGGAATCAGGCGCCTAAAGTGGTGTCGACATATCGATAAGAATATAGGGTAAGTAGTTTATTGAGCAAGCTTCTTGATTAGATTAAATTGGAAGACTTCGAGTATCTTTATTTGACTAGATGATGAGATAACACGAAAACACTTGGCACGGGAACATGCATTGCATAAGACTGAACGTTATGTTTTTCCCTACCATTATTCAGTTACGGTAGTAAAACAATGTGAAAGCTTTTTATGTATCTTTCGAAGAACTAAGGGTAGCCTATCGTCGATGAGAGTGGAGAGTTAAAAGGATGTATCCGATATATTTTACGAAATTCACCTTTTTGTTTCTTCAGAATGAGAATTTTGTTGTGCATCTTTTCATCTAGATGTCGTATTTTTAAGCCAATAAAAAGTGTTTTTTTATAGATATTGTTCCAAAATAAAAAATAAAAAAAAAATAATAATATTTAGAGCGAAAATGTCTTATTTCCTTATTAAATTCACTTTGTTTCGTACGATTAAGTATTACGATCAAACCAAATGTAGCCAGTATTGTTTTATGGTTAGTTACATATTATTGAGATTATTGTTGAGCCTCTACTGTGTGAAATCTATGAAACTGAAGCAGGTAAAGGTGAATTTTTCCCGAGATACGTCTTTGCTGTATAAAATTGCAAATAACTAGCTGTCACTCCTTATTTCTGCACTACATATTTAGCCCGATATGTACGGGTAGCTACATACTTTTTAAACGGCTACACGTACATTTTGGGCGACGTGAAGTTAGCTTGTTGTTCGTTGTTCGGTATTCACCAGATATGGAATTAGTAATATAATAAAGGCACTTTTAGAGAGATTATGCCGGGAGTGGGTTTTGATTAGCCTTATTGGTTCATAAATGTTCAAAGTCTTGGGAAAAAATTCTAACAACCTGTCTTTGTACTCCAACAACGAGCAGTTTCATATTGGTGGTTTTCACTTGTCCGTGGCGCTGGAGTGAAGAAACGGCGTCTAGTCGTTCGGATTATACGATAAACACCCAAGTCCCGTGTACACGTTGTGGTGCCCGTTGAAAGAGAACCTTGACAGTTGGAATTCAAAATAAGTGTAGGCCGTATCGCCGCTGTCTGGTCAAAATTTACCCAAATAACACACTGTATGGCGTATGTCCGTCTTCATTAGCCCGAATGTAGAGTGTGTCAAACGTTGAATCTGAGATGCCAAGAACGTCATGCTTATTACAGTTAGATTTCATTACACTGTATACTATGGTGTTTTATTCGGTGTGCATCTAGTTGTGGAAGGTAGATCATTTTCTTATTGGTAGTCGGTAGTGAGCTATTATATGCTTGACTGTTGTCTATTGTTTTATGTAAAATCGACCATTGTTGGCCACATTGATTTGTATATTCTCTTATAATATCTCGGATGCTGAACTGACCATTTCTTAGCGCGTTCAGTTTTTCATTTTATGGCTTGTTGAATTCTGTCTGTTTAGCGTTCAAACATTCTGTCTGTGATATGCTGAACTTTCTGTTCACTGACATGTTGTATTCTCCTTTCTCTGACATGTGAACCGGCGGTTTCCAGATACGTTGAACATGCAAGGTACAGAATTGTTTGATCTCTACTATTAAATGTGGAATAGTCATTTTCTAACTGCCTATTTAGGATTATTCTATTAGTGTTCTTGGAGATCCCGGGTTGGATCGAGGTGTTGACCCAAAAACTTTACAACTTTAAAGGAAAGGCTTCTTGCCTTTGGGGCCGGGGGGGGGGGGGGGGGTCTAAACACGGACTCGTGTATACCATTGTCAACATGTTACAAAATTGAAATTAAAATAGACCGCAAGGCCTTGGTAAAGGCATAAATACTCACATTGCACACTAATTTGTCCGCATAGAAACAAGACGTTAAACCCCTTTTTATATAATTCCCACTCCTTAACAATGTTATGTACATTACAGAAGTAATCAAAGAAAGGGGTTAACTGGTTAATATGGGCAAATGGATATAGAAAAGAAGTGTTTAGCTTGTCCTATATCTGTGGGTTATATACAAGGTCAACGGAAGGAACAGAAGTACTAACACCTGTAAAACATATTAAAGTTTGTGTTTATAATAAACATAACCTTAACGTTAATACCTTGATATCGACATACTTCCATAGGTTGACTGGGGAAGATAAAGCTGTGTTTTGGATACAATTGAATAAAGCCGAGGATGATGACGGATGATTAAAGATACATTATGTAAGATTTAGATAAGGAGCTAGCCATTCGTCCTATAATAGTAAAATAAATAATTTGAAAATTTCATTCAAATTACTCTATTGCGAGCGAAGATATTGAAGGTTTGACAAGACGTGTGCAATAATTTCAACCACCGCATTGGTTGTTCGAAGCTAAGTCTCGCTCTTCCATTTTTAGCTTAAAGTAGCTAAGTCCGTTACTCAATATCATCCAAAATCTTCGACATTGAAAACACGATTTTTTTTGCAATTTAAATCAGCATTGGTGTTGTGATCTACCTGGAAAAGATGGGCTTCTGATATCCAATATTTAAGACCAAAAAAACATTTTACTATTGGTACACGAATCGTGTACCATAATGCGTTTCAGCGCCATTTGTAACAAGGTGCTCAAAGAATGAGGCTAGAGATATTTCACAAGTCATGTCAAACGGTGATATCATGTTCTTATTTGGAGAGCATGCGCAATAAATAATATCGGTGTTGACTAGAATAACCAGACGCTAGAAACTGACTTGCGGTTGAGACTTCTGCCGTATTTCGCCGAACATAACTGAAGACAATTCACAGTAAAACGGACACGATTGACTGTAAACTGTTTATATAAATTCTTATTACATTATTATATGTTTTGCGACCCATTTGTGCCAATTTCTAGGCCCAAAATATTAGCGATTTAGCTCCTTTAAATCAAAATATGTCTGAACTGTTCTAATGTATTTAATATCGGAGAAATCCGATGCCATCGAGGGTTGATTATGACCTGGATAAGTTAATTAATGTGTAATTAATAATTTAGAAAACATTTCAGGCCTAAAGAAAGACCTGTGTGTAATATGCAGATTTAGCTCTTGCATAATGTATGTTTAAGAATACATTGCGTGTAAGAAAGCCCCCCTAGATATTGAGATCATAGGCTTCAGCCTGTCAACACGAAGATGTAATAATTATCAATAAAAGTCTAATTTATAACGCTTATAGCGCTAGGGTTAATTTGAATTAACAAACTACCTTCGCTAATTCCTTCTTAGAACAGAGAATACAAACTAAATCACTCGCCTTTTGTTTTTTAAATAATGTTATTGAGTTAGACATCTGCCTTTTTAAGTACAGTAAGTTTCTGAGAGTTTAAACACGATTTCGGGATCTACACTGGTCTTTTTTTTTAACTCTTAACCCAAATATCATTGCGCCTTGATTAATGGCTTATCGTGCAGAACATATTTCACTAACACCGTAATATCAAAGAAAGGGTGGTTCAAAGACAGCAAAGCTTATTAATGTTTGTAATGAAATCCATGTGAAATCTAAAGTTTCTTTACTTATTTCTTTTGTATCTCGTGTCTTGTATATTCACTATAGAGGTTATATCTTTATATGCAAAGTGTACATCAATTAAGGAAGGGGTAAGGGTTCATCTGCAGTGCACTGTGTATTTTATGTATCCTGGTGTATATAAATATACACCTTTACGTATTCAGAATTCAGCTGCAAACAGAAGATAGAGGGGTTAACTCAGATGTCAGATTTATAGCCATTGGTTGTACATAGTGTCCTTTTTAATTCTTTAAGCTCAATTAGATTAATTGCATAGTTACTTTATGGTATTTCCTTATTCATGTTTATTTGATTTGTTTTTCTCTGCCACCCAGTATTTGTCTCCCAGCAGAATTCTGCTCATACCTGGACTAAACAGAACAACTCATTGGCCAATCTCCCATATTAACAACTCTTCCTGATCTATTGTCATGAAGACAATTTTATATTATATAAAACGAGACCAATAGTGACAGACTATTGGTTGAGGTGTATAGCTATTGCGACTGACTTTGGCTCATCGTATCGGAACAACTCGAGATCACCCAACCGACGGCAAACTTTAAAATGATGTAATCCAGAGTATTCCGGCAACAATATTTGTCTTTTAGCTGAAACAAAACATATCGTGGTATTTTGTTGAATTAAAACTCTTAAATTAATTGCTTTAGTTAACAACTTTGTTCAATTCTATTTCAGATGATAAATCCACCATGCAATGTAACGGCTCCAATAGTTAAAGTTAAACAAAAGCAGATGATGGATTAAAAACTTAGGCAGCTGTGTGGATTCCTTTATACATATATTATATTATCTTTAGTTGAGTGCCTTGCTTAGATTGAATTATGTGTCTGTCTGTGAGAAATATATTCTCATCAGAATATAATCGGTAGAAATAAATGAAATTACATATTTTACACAGCATCTTTACCACTAGCTATAAAGACAAACAACGCAACTAATTGTTAGACTATAATTCAACTGATGCATTGAAGGCATCACTGGAAATTTGATTATCTGCAAATCGAAAATGGATGACACTACTTTCCTTGATAACAACCAATATTCCTGACAGTTTGACCTTTTTCATTGAGGATCTGGAAGTGATCGCGACCAAGACTTAACTTGTCTTGTAGTAATTGAACGGGGAGTTGAGTCGGAAATGTGGCTAGGAAAACCATCAAGCAGCAAGAATTCACAAGGATTGTCAAGATGAGAATTCGTGCGCGGTACGCCACAGCCGTAGTGCTGCTGTTGTGTTTGCTTATAACATGTAAAGTGTACATTTTAGATTCATATACCATGAGCGACTATGGCAAAATTTTTGTAGGTGGCAACCCATCGGAACTTACCAAAAGTCAAAGTGCAGACGATAAAAATCTGATAGTGTCTTATGGTAAAAATGACTTGAGACTCGCTGGAGAATTGGGCCGAGGTGTGATATTTGTTTCGGAGGAGAAGGCTAAGGCCGATGCTGCTATGGAGAAATACAGAGTAAACGTATATGCCAGTGATCTTATTCCTCTGAACAGAATGGTCCCAGATTCCAGACCACCTGAGTAAGTGATAAAGTTATTAAGCAATTATATATGTTATATTGATATAATAATAACCTACATTGAATTCTTGTCAACTTTATTTACAAATAAATGAGTATTATTTGGTAGTTTAGTTTAAAATGGAATAATGAACATGACTTTTCGCAGAATTAACTGTAGAGTGTAACTTTCTATTTGATTATTCAAGATATCGACTTTCAGAATCCGTTACAAATGAATGGATTACAAGCAACAACTACCAACAAACAATTTTCGATTCTCTCCCGTTTGAAAACTGGGTTAGATTTTCAGCTACTTCAAATCTGTATGTTTTTAGCAATCTTTGTCATTAGTAGTCATCTATCAATGTTTAAGAGTACATGTAAATCTAATGAGATTCAAACACATCGGACAGCTAATATTTTGTTTAAATGAACATTAGTCGTACGTTTTCAAAACTTTGATTTTAGTCAACAGATAGTATAACGATCCGTGCATCGAAGGGTTGCCGATATATAGCCAATTTTCAAAGAGTCAACTACTCACCTGACCGTAAAAGTGTTAATTATAGTTGGATTTTCATACAATTTTCACTATATGACGCCTTTGCCTCTTATATAAAGAAAACATTTCCTTCATATTGCAAAGGTCGTTGTCAGAAAACAGATTTATCTACGGTTGTTAATGTCTTATAACTGTTAATTCCTGAACCTTGTATTCCCTTTAATTTGTGGTTTCAGTCTAACAGAGAATCAGATGTGAGATCATAGATGGAATTAAGTTTGGATAATATCACATTCAAAATAAACTGACACTCACTTAATTTGAGAAACTCGATGCTCTGGTCTACATAGATTAAAGTATTTTAACATGCGTTCTTTGATAGTGAAAAATGTGCACGACTATCAATTTGATCGGTCTCACATTTTGCAAACAATCTAAATTATCTATTCTCGATGTATAACTGTCCAGTCGCGTCAAATGGAAAAGTGTTCATTCGTCAACCGGAGAAGACCTCCAGAGAGCTAATGCCTCTTTAACACTTCGCTGCAGTTTTAATACGCTTTGCGACAATTTCTATCTACAGACATAACAATTTGACCTCTTCTGTTATACAACAAACGTCTATAATTATTGTTGAAGAAGGCGAACAAATATTTAGGTTATAAACCTCTAAACATCAATAACATAATTATCTATTAAAGTAGGTTTGTTATGAAACAGATATAACGGTATTCAGTTTAAACAATTGCTGCAGATTTATAATAAGAAAAAGTACTACATTCCAGACTCAAGGGCAAATATCAAAGAGCGTCTAAAGTTCAAATGAATTTCTATTGATTTCCGGAGGTCATATATTTTTAATCTTATAACGTCAGAATAACTTATTTTTATCCATAAACATCGAGATCAAGATGGTATCTAACCTAAAAACTTTTTAGCCTTTATTTTTATACATCCACGCCTTTTGTCGGCGTGGGGGCTCTAGAGTTTGACACACTCTAAGAGGATAAAATTATGCTTCGATTGTCGGAGTTGTGGCTCTTGATCACTTTAAAAAATCCCGTGGACACTCTGGAGACCAAAGATTGACTTTCACATTGTTTATGTTCATGAGTCAAAATAAGCGCTTTTGATTTTCAACGATTACTGATAAGTTGAACAGCTTAATTCATGATATTAAATCATTGTATAATAAATGTTAGCATCGGGAAGACAACGACAACTTAATCGATTTTGAGTGTCTTGTAAATGGTTTCATTACCAAAAATATATGTGGATTGCTGTGGGCGTGTTTTTTTCTCGTTGCCTGTCAACCGATCTTTGTTAAATTAAAATAAGAACATTGGCATAGTGGGTTCAATAGTATTTGAAACCTAATTAGTGTAAGCACTCGACTGTGGGTCGTTCAAAACTACATGTAAAGCAGGGAGCAATCTCCTAAATAATAACTCGCAATTTTCTAATCATCCATGTTTCATACTATTCCAAAAGACACTATTCCTATTTAGATTTTCTAAATGTCATCTGTCATAATGAAGTTATATTTACAGAGTATTGTCTGTATAGCTGTTATTACTTCTATAGAAAGAACGGCCATTATTCTCCTTCGTATGCTACACTGAAAACCTATAATTTTCCAACATAATGATCTAAATCGTAAAAATCTCGTAAGGAAATGAGACAGGTAACTGTAGATAGTTCTGATTATTACATGTTTAAATATTATGGGGCGTGGTGATTCAGAGGGGTTGGGGGGGGGGGGGGTACAAACCTATAATATTTATATGGTTGGTACTGGTTAAGCAATATGATTATGAGGTAATGGAAATCAGAATCAGTCAATAGGGTTATAAATAACCGCATTGAAGCCACTTGATTTTGTCAATGTGAATTGGGGTACAAAAACTCAAGGGGGCGAAATAACTCTAAACCTATGACGAAAAGCGCATCATTGCGTCCCTTTCGCTTACTACCTGGAAACTTCGAAGGTCATCGAATCTACTGTAAAATCCAATTCGATGCGTACATATTCCAGCGTATATTCTTTTATCGTATACAGTAATATATAGCAAGGCGTGGCCAAGCAGTTAGAACCTTTAAAAGACTAGTTTCACGGGTCGTACATTACTCGTATGTACTCGGAAGTTCAAAAGATTTTGGATGGATAGTAAACTGACCGGTTAATTATGTCTACTAAGTGTAAGCGCTAGACACTGGACTCTCAGTGAGAATAAACCTTCCTTTAGAGTCCACTCTTGTCCCAGTGCCGAGTACTTTCTATAAAAAGGGGATTAAATCCGTATTCACATTGGAATGCCATTAAAAGACTGTACACGTAACTATAGAAAATGAATATATAACTGTATGCTAGTTTCAAAATAGTCTACGTAAATGGTCGACGTGAGGTTAAACACGGTAGCATTCGAAACCATAACGAAATACTTTTTTGGAATGACAGTACGTTATTAACTGCTTTGATAAAGTTTTACGAAATACGAACCTATAATATATTCCACTCAACGACAATATAAGACTGAATATGTTAGCTTTGAAGTTTTTCGAAACGTGAAGAAGGGATTGATTGCCTGACAATTTGAAAGATTTTATTACCAATACATGTTTCATTACGACGTACTTCTTTGTAAAATCGATAATGTTGGATAACTCGATCTGCATGGTTATATACAGGTTTAATTTTGATACCACGATAAGATGGCACTGCTCCGTGTAGTGTAATTTGAATACGGTATATTTACTTCGTACCAGCGTCCAACTTATAGAAGCATCATGACAGACTAAACTATTTTGGGTTTTCCCTAATATAAATATACCAATTAGCCTAGATAGATTGATGCATACTAATGCCAGACTAACCGAATTTGTGTTCAACAGAATCTAAACTTTGTAATCAGACACCTAACTCAGTCAATATGAAACATTAATAGTATGGCAATTGCTTCATAATTAATCGATATACTACCAGATTAACCCACTTTAAGGGATAACAAAATCAACATATTATGGAATCCAATGATATCGACAGTTTTACTTTTGACCCAATTAAATCAAAGACACTTATTTGAATAGCTTACCATATGTCATTAGATGGACAGTTTTTCCTCAGATTGTGTGTTAATTGATACGAAGTTGTCTGTTGACTAGGATAATAATATATATATAAAAATCTAATTATCCTTTTTCCACTAACCACATGGTAAATATCTCACTATGTATATATAACATGTAATTGTCTGCGATATCACCTCGGTGGAAGCGGGCGTTAAAGAAAGCTAGTTCACATACACTGTTGACTAGGCTTCTGTATCAACCAAATGACTGCACATTTGTCGAGCATACATTCCAAATGGAGTCGATGTTGGGCGAATCTAGTTGAACAGATAAACAACCCAATACATGACCACGGTCAGAAGCAAAACAATAAGTTGCAGATTTCCAGAAGCAAAACTATAAGTTGTAGATTTCCAAAAGCAAAACAATACAATGAATAAGATGCAGATTAAGATCAAACAAAGAAGAAATAATAAGCCGATCTTCCATGTCACTTTGTTACTATTTAATACCTATTACAGCGGTTAATGATTATTGACCTAAATCTACTAGTATAAATGATAAATCTCCAATCTGTATAAAATCATCACTCATTAATCATTTATAATGCAATGTATTAAACCTCTCATTGGACACAAAATGTCTTTGTCACCCCTAAAATGTCATATGATAGTAATATTATAGTGCAAATAAATGGTGTTTCTAAAAGATTGCTGATGGATATAGAAAAAAATATATGATATAGCTTACAGGAATCTATAATTAGGGATCTAACTACGAGGGGTTTTCCGAAATCTGAAATTTCACGGATGTCATGTAATCCCTGGTTTTTGTGCCTAAGGATTACGTGAAACCGCTGAATGAATTCTACACAAATGAGACACTACATATTAACTTGTTTATTACATTGCATTATTAATGTTTGCAAATTTATTCTAACAGCTATGGCACCGACTTGGACATGGTCTTGTTTTCTTGTTCTTGAAACATCCACGTAAAGTGGTTAATCCCCAACAACTTAAACATGCATTATGCAAGAGCTAAATCTGCCTATTTCAGGTCTTTCTTTGGGCCTGAATGTTATTTAAATTATTAATTAGACATTAATTAACCTATCCAGGCCATAATCAACTCTAGATGGCTGCGCTAGTCTGCGATCTTTAGTGGATTGTAAGCCGATTTACTGCATAACTTTCCTTCTCATTAAACGATTAAATGGATAATCGAGACTATGCTGTTTATCGTACTGACTTTAGTAATGATGACCGAGGCTTATGGGAATTTCAGTCGCTTAGTTCTCGGTTCATAGTGGATCAATTTGAATGAAATTTTCACCAAATTGCCTTCTACCTTATCTAGTTTTTAACTATTATAGTGAGAACTGCCAACTCGTTACCGAATCTCCCATAATGTATCTTTAAACAATTCTAATTACTATATTGTTTAGT